ACAGTCCAACATTCTTCCCAAATGTCCCCAACCAATTTCGCTTTTCTTTCCCTCGAACCGCCGCGATGTCTTTTATTTTACCCTTTTTCAAAAAAAAAAATTTCTTTTTTTTTGCATGATAATTGGGAATTTTGAATTTTCTTTGCATGCGTGTCAATCACGCGCTATTTTTAAACACGTAACAGAACCTACCTAACCAATCGCTTTTCTAATATTGATAATCCGAACAAAACCGGAGAAAAAAAACATAAATCGATTTAATTCGGTTAGGTTATGGTTTAAATCAATAATCTCAGATAAAAGTAAACCGAATAGGTTTTCTTGTAGAAGATTACACTGAAGATTCACTTGAAAAGGAAAATTGGATAAACAAAACATTTGTTGGCCTAAGAATCTGATAATTTTACAGTCTCTCTCAACTGACACTAAAACCAGATGTATAATTTTTTTTTGTATACCAATTAGATCACTTCTTCTTCTTCTTGAGGAATTGGGAGTAGAATCTCGGTTTTCTCGGTCAGCGAGTATCAATGGATCCCGAGTTCCAGCAAACCGGGCCTGACGTTCCTGAAGCAATGCAAGAACTCGAGGAAGAGTGAGCAGAGGAATGTTGAGATTGATGATGTGTGGAAGATGAAGAAGAGACTCTGTTTTGTTGTTGCTTCTGTTCTTGCATCAGTTTCAATATGTAAGCATCGTCATGGACCGTGAAAGGCGTGCTGTTCACAACAAAGTCAAGGGGAAAGACAAGATTTCAATACCGGATTGAAGAGATAACAAAACTGATTTTGATTTCGAGAAAAGAATGTTGTTCAGTTACCTATTGAAGTCGAGGTGTACAAGTTGCATATCTTCTGAAATCTCGATTTCGACTACTGCATGAGGATTTGTCTATATAAAGAGATTCGAGATGAAGATGGATTAGGATACCGAAAAACATGAAATAGAAAATAAGGAAACAAAGAGAGTTGAAGTACCTCAAGTAGAATGAATGGTAAGGTAAATCCTTCTGCTGGGCCTTTAGTCTTCACAACCATCTCCTGATTTCTCGACATAAGATTCTCAAGACTTGAGACCTGACGATGACGACGACATTCGAGGAAACATATAAACAAAACGTAGAAAGACAGTTAACATTTCATCAAGACAACAGAAAATTATTCAAAGACGCCATAACTAGCAGTTACTACTAAATGCTAGGTTCAAAATAGACAGATGTTTTACAAACAGACAGATCCCGAATTGTATAAGCCTCTTATTTTTTTTTTTTTTACATACACATGAAAGGGAAAAAAAGAATCACCTTTTCTCTCAACTCTTTAAGAAAAGCAGCCTTCTTTTGCACACTATTCATAACCTTATTTCGATCCATCTGCAAATGCGAGTATCAGATATCCAAAAAGACTAGTAAAGAATACGAGGAGAGAGCAATAAAACAGAAGAAAATCGAAACATCCAGCTTAGAAGCAGCACCTTAACTTCTTCCACATCCTTCTTGCAGGTAATAGGAAGTCCTTTCCACCGGATTTCCTTTTTATCTCTTGCAATAATATCCAACGCCATGAACACATTGAGTGCATCATAGACTCTCCGCCTTATGTTCTTCTCATTATACTAATTAACCATTAGAGAATATTGTTAGAACTTCTATCTGTTTCCATAATTCAGACATATAATATCAGCTTTCCATCTTGCTGTACCTCGTTCTCATTCAAAGGCTTCTCTGCGTTTTGCTTAATCGTGGCAAAATCTGATATTATTTCATCCGCAACCTGGAATCACAAGAACCACAGTCTCAGGACATAGATTTCCACATTTTCTAATACAAAGCTTTGACTGCAATACTCCTAATTGGAAGAAGTATTTGAGAGAATGCTCAACAACTAACTTAGAGGAGGATTGCTTCCTGAAGTGTGTGCTAGTTCAAGGAAAGATAAATTCTAATGCATTTTGAACTGAAAAAAAAAACTTCAAGACCACAACAAATCTTTCTCGTAGATAAACAAACTCAATGTAAAGAGTAGTACCTCCTTGTATGTAGTTATCTTCTTAGCTTCCAACTTCTGACAAACTGAGAAAAGCCACCACAAGCAAATGAAGTTAATCAAAACCAAAAAACAACAATTACTTTCAATTCAGGCAAGAAAATTCACTGACCCATAACGCTAAATTGGCGAAGTCCGCCTCCAGCAGTTCTTGATTGCCCTTTCTTCTCTGATCTGTTTAGACAAATTCAATAAAGACATTTTAGCTCCAAAGTGAAAATATCACAGACATGTGAGCGTACACTACAATCAAACAATACAGAGACTAACCCAATTTCGTTATCTTCATCAACTATCAACTTCCTTCTCGCTGGAGTTTTCTCCAAGCTCACTACAGGATGATGTCTCTGCTTCTCTGGAGTTACAAACAAATCCATCTCCATACTCCACAAAAACTGTTAAGAACATTTTCACAAATTAATCAGGGGAAAAAAGAGACAGATTCATTCAATTAACATAGCTGTTCGTGAAGTCGATCAATCCTTGACTAAAATCGATGAAACAAACAAGCACAAAATCTGGAAAAAAAAAAAACCTAGAAGTGATAATTATGAAATGGGTATCAATCAGTGGACAAGATCTAGCGATGTGATGAAGAAACCCTAGTCAGATAAACAAACCCAGAACAAAAAACAAAGCTCGAATCCGAAAATCCGGATCAAATTACGAACCAGTGATCGTCTCCAATGGCGGAAAAAAAACGGAGATTTTCTAGGGTTTTGGTTCTTTTTACAGAGATGCGAATACCTAAAAAAGAAAAACTGAGAAATCGATGAAAGTTACGGACTTGTCGCTACAAAAGTGATCAATAGAGAGACGAAGAAGCAACGATTCTTCTCCATAGCCCATAAAAAAGCCATTAAGGCTCAACAAAACAAACACACACACATTCTCTGCGTTGGAACCCAAAACGTTACACTAAACGACGCCGTTTTACGATTTAATGGCGGGGATTTCAATGGGCTTGAAGTCATTCAAATGGGCTTTCGTTTGTGATTTTAAGTTCAATGGGCCTAAGTATTTAAACCCGAACTTGTATTACTGTGTAGTGTGTAAATAGTCGGATACGTACCTTTCTTTGTATAAAATATTTTCT